AGGCAAAAGCTAGTCTCATTATAAGAGTTTCACATTTCAAAACCTACGGATATTCCTTGTTTTTAAATTGTGACTTCAGCCTTGGCGTCTTCAATTATTGAATACTATTCAAAAATTGAAAACGCCAAGGTACTTTAACTCAGAAATTATAAGTGGCCTGTGCCCAGCAGTGGGACGTATATAGGCCGTAATTTTAACTTTAATCTGGGATCTATGAAAGCTCAGATTCAGAACTTTGAAAAACTATAAAAAAACATAAGCAAATACTTATCTTTAAAACTTAAAAAACTTTATCTATCCGAGGAGAAAGATAGAGCATAGAATGTAATAATTGCATCTAACCACAGCAAGAACTCATCAAAGAAATCCAATCGAATCGAATGGATAACAAAGTCATTAATTACGTATGTCTATAACATACTCATCTCTATAAGTAAAGAAATATTTTCTATATGTATATTTTCATGCATAATTTTTTATAAAAAAGTTTCTGTTTCTGTTACTGTTTCGAAAACCAACAACATCAATAGTAAACAAATTTTATTCAAACAATAAAAAAACAGTACTAAGGTAATAAATAAATAGTTGTCCTGATAAACAATCATTGTATAATAAAGAACAGATATTTACTCTAAGACAGATAATTAAAAAAAAACTAAAAACAATGTCAAGTCAATGATTAACGTACCTACGTTATTATAAGCACGATATCGCATCGCTTTAACACAGCCCTCAAATGTAATGTGCTTGCGAAACACCTAAAAGGTTTTTGTCAGCTAAGTAGAAGGAGAAATTTAACTAAAAGAGCCTAAAATATTTATTTTATTTATATTTCTTAGACAATTTCGGTCACGGTGGCGTCTCAACGGAGACCAGCCAACTCGGACAGAATTATAGTGCCCGAGTATATGCACTCTTTATTCCCTTAAGCTCATAGTCCGATAGGACGATAATAGTTCCAACACCACCATCAAACAGATTTACTTACTCTCGACAGAAGGCAGAAAAACATACTAACTGATTTTTTTCGGCGCGAGCAGAAATTCGAACCCGGAACTTCATGACCAGCAGTCGCACCACTACAACCACTAAACCAACGAGGAATTTAGATACGCTACAATAGATAGGTGACGGGACCCTTGAGAGCGGAACACATCAGTGCAGGCTCTGCTGTTTGGCGAAAGAAATAACTGAGAGGGTCTACTAGCCTACCCAGACTGACTCTCAGGCAGAAGAAGAGTGTTACCACCTAGATTGATTGATCATTAATCTATATACAAAAAAAAATAATTGCTGTCCGTTCGTCTCACTAAAACTTGAAAACGGCTTGAACGATTTTGGTTAAACTTTTTGTGTGTGTTTGAATGGTTTAGATTAACAATTGGACCCGGTAGGCGGCGCTGCTGTCGAGATCCAGAAATCACCCGTGGGAAGCCGGGGCTGACCGCTAGTATAAAATAAAATATTTGTATTACTCATAACTGACAGACATATACTTTTAACAACAGTTAACCTATTTTATATTTTATTACAAACTAATTTTATCATAATCCATCTTCCAGGCCAAGCAGATACTTCACAATTTGAAGAGTCAAAGTTTTGTAAAGGAATAAGCCAGTACTGAGGGTTTTGTGAGAAAGCTTAGAAACTGAGTAAGTTTGAGAGATCCTTGCCCGAAAGCTTGTTTGTTTAGATTGAATCGGATTTAAATTTTAAACTTTAGTGTTACATTAGTATGTACAAATGTAAAGTAAACAGAGATTTTCATTTTATTTATATAAGAACTAATAAATCTCATCTCAAAGGGGGATTCTTTATTAATAAATATTTTTATCTAATCACCAGTGTTATTGAATCATATGATCATAATGTAAATCTTAAAAGTTTTCGGATTTATTTTAAATGTTTTAAGAAAATGTCGCTTGAAAATGTTTGCTGTTTTTTTTTTTTTGAGGTCTGTGGCTAATTCTTATGTAAAGATTTGACACCGTTTTTGAAATTATTTTATGTGCAACTAAAATGAGTGATCCATTTATGTATACTACATGATTACAACATAAAAATATTAAATATTAAAAAAATCTTATATGAAATAATTTCAGAAAGAATCAAAAATATGTCAGAGAGAATCAAAAAACGATGATACTTTTAAAGCTAAGTTTTATATTCTGCCTATCGTAATGTTGTAAGAAATTAAGAAATAAAATATGCTTAGGTATACATACAATTAAAGTAAGTGCCACGTCCCACGTCTGAGCACGAGGCCTCCTACAACTTCTGAGACGATTTTAGGACATGCTAGTGTGCTGCCTCAAAGCGTGACCTCAAAACTTCACCTATTCTATTTTTTTTAAATTATCGGACATGGAGGTTTTTACACGATATTTTCCTTCACCGCCGAGCACGGGTCGGACCCTGGTTGCTCGCGTACTGTTAAATTTAATTAAATTTACCGCGAGAACTTAGCCCCTGAGCTATCACCACGTAACGTAAAGGAATTATAATAAATAATAAAACAAAAGTATCGCCAAATATCATACTGCATACTATTGCAAAGGCGATATTTGTTTATAACATGGTACGAGGCAGTGTTATATAAATATAAATCTAGAAACATTAAGATTTTGCTTAATTAATAATTATAACTGATTTCTAAGCTTACAATAATAAATTAAAGGCATTATAAAAGTATTTTCACTTTACCATTCGCTTAATTTGTTCAACGTAATTAAAAATGTATTATTTTTAGTTTTTTAGGTGTAACAATAGCGACTATCCTCATCATCTTGTTGGCATCGTAAGAAGCAACCACAGAGCAAATACAAAGAGGTGTTGTAATTAGATTTCACTATGTGACCACGCGTGACGATTTGCGGGGAGAAGGGATGTTAGGCCCCGCCCACTTTACTATATTCCATCTATCGATAAATAGTAAAACTACTCGCATCGTTCCATATCGATGTTGTAAAGTAGTTGAGCTACCTTGACGATAGATGGCAGCCTGTTCACAAAATGATTATAAAAACTATAAAAATAATATTTTGGCGATTAAATATTATTTAGGACTGAATGCAAAACAAATTTCCTTCGTATGATTATTTTACCAATATTGAGGTCTACACACCTTTATACTTTTAGTTTCCATGACACAAAGTGTATATTTAATTACATTTGAAAGAATATATTAAATTACATTTGAAAGCCGACGCAGAGATTTTTCTAGAATATTTTTAATAAATTAGGTATAAAATTACTTAGAAAAAGAAATGTTATCCCATCCATAGCATCAGAGCGTCTATCTGAGTAGTTTTTACACGATAAAACACAATACTTCATCCTTTTCTTCTTAATACTGGGACAACGCATGTGCACTTTGATTCTTAATCAAACAGCATCCACTTGCCATCAGGTGGAATGTGTGCTCGTTTGTTACCCTTATTTTATAAGAAAACCTTGGAAGAACTTGTTACCTCCAATCGCCAATACGCCTGCTAAGTGGGGCCATTACGGATATTCCATTCTTAGTAAGAAGTGAGTGGTGTGGGTTATTTTCTGAATTTTTGTACAAAAACTCTAAATCCAAGTAGGTGCCGTTTTCGTGAGATGTCAATAATAATTTTAAAAACGGAACATTATATTTCATTTCTATGCATTTTATATGCATTTATCAGATGGTGAAACACGGGCCACCGACGGAACCAGAGGGGGAGCCAAACGCAGGCGTTCCCTTCTGTCTAAGTATAAAGTCCACGCAATCTTATGCGTTCGCTAAAACTAGTTGCAACGCACTTCTCACTAGACCAGCTATATTCAACCTGCGGCCCGACAGGCCTTTGTGATTGGCCCACCGAAATTCCAAATTTATTGTAAACTATTTTAAAATTCGCGCCCATCAGAGTACGGGTGGTTCGGAACGGGAATGTGAGCCGAGCGCTATCAGCGATTTTGGCGTAAATCGGATCGCAGCATATTATTAGTCATCTGTGGTTGCAAGAGCAAGACGTAGGGATGATCGATGTTGTAGAAACATCGATGATGACATCGATGTTGACATCGATAGCTCAACATCGGTGTTCGATGTTTATCCTACTCAAAACATCGATGTTGGTAATTATCGGTGTTTTTGGCACATTTTTTTATAGGATAAGGGTGACAAACGAGCACACAGTCCACCTGATAGTAAGTGGTTGCTGCGGCCCATAGACATCTACATCTATCCTCTATTACAAATCAAAATGTAGATGCGTTGTCACCCGCGAGGACTAAGATGTAATGCCTCATTTCCAGTAAAAAGGGCCTCCGGCCACCTGCACTCACCAAGCGAAACGCTGAGGTAAACCTCTACTTCACGCTGGTTTTCCGTGAGGTCGTGGTACCACCCCGGTTCGAGCCGGCCCATCCGTGTGACAGCTAAAGCTGCCGCGTGGCTCTACCACTGTTAAAAATGTATTTAATAGGCTAGAATTAGATGAATAAAAACTTGTCATGTTGTTTATGGTTTATAATTAATATAATAAAAGAAATTAATAAACAATGTAGTATAAAACAGTAATTAAAAAAATTGGAAGAAGTTCACAAATTTCTAGTTCATTTGTTTGTTATATAGTGCAATATTTTTGCCGCTTGATTGAAGAAATAGTAATTTTGACAAAGCAGTACCTTTCAATCTATTTCTCTGTTGATAAAGATTTGAGGCAGTTATTGAAAATAATTTAAAAATAAAAATTTTATAGAACTGACTGCAATATAAACTATTTTAAGGATAACTCAAAAACTATTGAACATCGATGATCATCGACCATCTAGCGTAGCCTAGCAAGACGAAACGCGCGGCGGGATCCATGAACCTGTGCGTGTCGCTTTGTTTGCTGGTCGTAACTTGTTTTGAATTTGTTTACATACCTACTCCTACGCTACGCTACGGTGGTAAAAGATAGATAACAAATAATCAAAGCTAATCTCATCCAGTAATTGCAGTTAACTGTGTGTTTTTCAAAATAATGTCAGGAGTGTCTTCTAAGTTTAAAAGAAAAATATCTAGTGAAATAAGAATGTTTCAAAATGAGTGGGAAACGGATTATTTTGTTGTGCCAAACAAAAACAATGCAGCTACTTGTTTGATATGTCGTGAAAATATTATATTGAAAAAATTACAATATTTCGCGTCATTTTCGTCAAAATCTTTCGACGAAACGTTTCCTCCTGGATCTTCCTTGAGAAATGAGAAATTGAGTATTTTTAAGAGAGTATTGCATCAACAACAAAATGTTATGTCTGTGGCATTATCACAAGACTCCGCGGTAACTAAGGCATCATATGAAATTTGTTACATTCTTGGTAAGCATATGAAACCATTTTCCGATGCAGAAATTGTAAAGGAATGCTTTGATAATGCTGCCAATATATTTTTTGATAAATTCAGTAACAAAAGGAAATACTATCTGATATAAAAAAAAACTACAGCTCTCGGATTCAACCTGTATGAGGCGTATTGAAGACATTTCTAAATTTATTCACGATGATATATTAGATAACCTAAGAAATAAACAAATTAACAAATTTTTTAGCTTGGCATTCGATCGACATTTCAGCAACATCGTAATGATCGGTGTTCGTTAGATATTGTAGAGAAATTTAATACAGGAAACCTTTTTCAAATTCCTACTAATGAAAGGTCAAACCCGAGGCACAGATTATCTTGATACTATCTGCAATTTTTGAGAGCAAAATTAAATTGACATACAAAATTTTGTGTGTCTGTGTGAATTTATTTCGTTATTTAAAGAAAAATATAATTTAAACAATTTAATAACATTTTCATTGTATTATCCACCAAGAAAACTTGGCGGCGCGTGTTGTAAATCCAGAAATAGAAGCTATAATGAAGACAGTTTGTTAATTTGTTTTTTGGTTTTTTTTTTGTTTAATTGTTAACTATATACAAGCAAGACAATTGAACCACAGAAGATTTAAAAGTCTTCTGGAAGAACTGGGAAGTCAGTATAACGACGTCCTTTTACATACCTCGGTGCGATGGCTTAGAAGAGGAGAAGTTTTGGAAAGGTTTTTTTTTGCGCCATGATATAACACTGTTTTTATAGAAAAATAATAAAATGTACACTGAATTACAAAATGATGAATGGTGGTGTATTTTAGCCTTCCTATGTGACATTACGGGAAATCTCAATAATCTCAATTGGAGTTTACAAGGTGAAATTAATATGGCCTCCAATATGGCAAATAAAGTGTTTCCATTTGAGAAAAAGCTAAGCATTTCTCATAAAGAAATACAGAACAAACAGCTGCAAAATTTTCAAATTATGATAAACGGTACCAACATTTCGGAAGAAAACTGCTCCATAATTTCAAATTATATAACTGCACTTTTAAACGAGATTCGAAAAAGGTTTCAAGATCTAAGAAAAATAAGAAAAAGTTTGTTACTTATAGAAAATCCATGGCATTTAGAAACCACAACTATCTCAGGGTTGGCTTCAGTTTTAAATTGGAATTACTCAGAGTTGTTTGATGAATTCATCGGTTTTAAAAACGACACCAATCTAGAAGTCCTCTTTAAATAAAAAAGGGCAAACAGGATATATGTGGAATTTTGGATTATTGTTCCCCAAAAATATAAAAGCGTCCAAAGATGTGCCGAAATACTATTAACATTCTTTGGGTCTACGTATGTGTGCGAATCGTCTTTTTTTTAAAATGAAATACACAAAGAACGTGTACAGAAACAAACTAAAAGATTCTCATCTGGTAGCGACAAGCCAGATCTTGAAAAAGTTTTGAAAAAGTGTTCACAGTATCAAAAATCGCATTAAAATATCCGAACAAAAACAGTTTTACTGTAAAGCATCGCGCCAAGTACACTTTCAGCTATAGTTACAAAAATAATAATTACATTTTTAAAAAAAATTATAAAATAAAATAAAACCAAGTATATAACTGTTTTAGATACGAAAAAAAATTTTGCTGAAAAAAGTAATAATAAAAAATGGTGTACTTGGTGTGCATGATTAAGAGTATCGATCACCCAACTTGACATTGGAAGTCGTTTTTTTAAAACTTTTTTGATTTATGCTCCTACTATAAAGTATAATGCATGCAGTATAATGCAATGCACACCAAGTACATAATTTTTTTATTATTACTTTTTTCAGCAAAATTTTTTTTCGAATTTAAAACGGTTATGTACTTGGATATATTTTATTTTATAATTTTTGGTAAAAATGTAATTATTATTTTTGTAACTATATTTGAAAGTGTACTTGGTGTGATGCTTTACAGTGAAACTGTTTTTGTTCGGTTTAAAGATCTTTATTTACTCATTAAGACAAATACATGTCACTTACATGAGTACATTATACAATTTTAAATAAGTCACACAGAACAAAATAATAACAAAAAAAAAAGTGAACATAAATTAGGGTAGATTAAAATTAAATATAAATATAAGTAGCAAGTTAGCTGCGTAGAAGCAATGTTTTAAGTACTGACTATATAAGGCGGTGGTCCAAGTTATAAAATGTCTTGGTTTTTAATGTAGTCTAATAGTTTTTTTTTTTAATATATTGAGCGAACTTGCATCTTTTATATTTGAAGGGAGTTTATTATACATCTGTGCTCCTGCAAATGTTACGGCATTTCTTCCAAAGTTCGTGCGAATATTTGGTAATATAAGATGATTTGCGCGGCGTGATGAGTATTTTAGTGTTTTTCCTTTTGTGGTGAACGTTATATTTGAATGGATCATATTACGCGTCATTTTATATATTAATATATGTCGTTAAGCGACAATTAAATACAAAAGAGAACCTAACCTAGTAACAGCAAAACAACAAAAATAGAACAAAAACAAATAATATATTCAAGATTTAGAAGATATTTACAATTTTATTTAACAAAAATGGAGTATGAAGATGAGGATGGATGACGTGATTTACAAATTATTTAAAAAAGGTAATAAAAATAAGGAGATTAGTGTCGAAACTGAGTCTGAAGATCCAAAGTGTGCTCTCAGCGCCTGGAACGAGCACGCACGGCGTAGGTGAGAAGGCGTGGGCGTCTCTAGGCGACGACCTCAGGTGAATGCGGTGATTGCAGGATCCGGTGATTTCAGGCCAGACAGGGGCTTGCAGGATCTTCAGCGACTTCAGACAGCACAGAGGCCTGCAGGATCCGGTGACTGCAGGCGGGACAGAGGTTTGCAGGTTCCGGTGACTTTAGGCGGGACAGAGGTTTGCAGGTTCCGGCGACTCCAGGCAGAGCAGAGACTTGTAGGATCCGGCGACTTCAGGTAGAGCAGAGGTTCGTAGAGTCCAGTGGCTTCAGGCACGACAGAGGCTTGCAGGATCCCGGGGCAGTGCGGCCCCGGGATAAGGCCTTTAGGTGATGCTTCGAACTCGAGAACTGAAGCGAGACTGCCTTTCTTGACTGATTGTTCGGCTTTTATACCTTTTTAGAGAGAACGGAAAAATTATTTAAATTAACAGCAATTTTTTTGTAAATGGCCAAGAGGAAAGAGTATTTATGTGGAATTATCGAAATAGAAACAACAGACCGGTAGCGAATTTGAATATAATTGTCATGACAACCAAATAAACAACGATGTCAAAAAATGTCAAATTTTGGTTTTAGGCTCGTAATAGAAAAACGGCAAGATTTAAGTGAAAAATGAGATGTTATTGGTATAGGAAAAAAGGTAGCGCAACTGCGCGCACAAAGTCCGAAATTGCAGAGTTACGGAAAACTAAATAAAAGATCGAAAAAGGTAGACTCCATTGACACCAATTTAAAAGTGCTGATAATGTGAAAATACGAAGTAGAAATGATTTGTTATTGTGTTCTTATGGTTTAAAATCGTTACAGGATCCTATGGAAATAAAGGTGATGTAAAATATCCAGTTTTGAGGTGAATGCAGACAATCGAAACGGAATGGAAAAATGAATTTAAAATAATGTAAAATGATAAGTAAGTAGCATAACACTACATATACAAGTGTTAAAGATGTATAATTGTTTAATGTTTAAGAATTTTGTTTCATGGTATATTTTTTTAGTGGATGTTAAAAAGTCGTAATGATATAAAATTTTAATTAATTTATTTTGCAGTACTTGTAGCTTTTGGAGATAAGTTTTGCCTGCTGTACCCCATATCTCTATTAAGTAAAGTAAGTGTGGTTTTACCAACGCGTTATAGATCATAGGGCGAGCTTTTGCTGGTATACATCGAGCCATACCGTATATAGAACCTATTAGAGATGAAAGCTTATTTTTTATAACTGATAAATAACCATTCCATGTCAGATGTTTATCAAGAAATAGTCCAAGGTATTTTTCTTGATTAGATTGGCGTAGCATTTCTCCATTTATGTGTAATTTTGTGTGGTGTTGGATTTTTTTGTTTTTTGCACTAAATACTACGTAAGATGTTTTGGCGGTATTTATTGTTAATAGGTTGTACTGAAACCATCTGTGTAGTGTGTCAAGATCTTGTTGGGCAAGCAAAGTAAGGTCATCTATATTTTGTCCAAAGAAGAACAAACATGTATCGTCTGCATACAAAGTGAGATGGCCGTGTAACCCTACTTCACAAATATTGTTGACATACACTAAGAACAATAGCGGACCAAGAATTGAACCTTGTGATATTCCACAGTTTATAGGTAGGGGACTGCTTTGATAATTTCCAATCCTTACCACCTGGTATCTATTTTCAAGGTAAGATTTTAACATCTTGAGTGCCGTGTCTGTCACACCAATACTTTCTAACTTTTTTAGTAGCAACGAGTGACTCACTGTGTCAAAGGCCTTTTTTAAGTCAATGAACACACCCAGTGCTAGCTGTTTTTGGTCTATTTTAGTTTTTATTTTAGTAGTTAAGTCAATAGCTGCACTGAGAGTACTCGATTTTGAACGGAAGCCATATTGTTGATCACACAAATAATTTATTTCAGTTAAGTGGTCATTCAGTCGTTTGTAAATTACTTTCTCCAGGATTTTTGAAAGCACTGGCAAAACTGAGACAGGCCGATAGTTTCCTGGATCCGTTTTTATACCAGATTTATAGATCGGATTGACCTTAGCTACTTTAAGACTATCTGGGAATATACCTTGTACCAGTAATTTATTAAGACAGCCAGTGAGATTGGGAATAATTAGATTTTTTACACACTTTATTGATTTTGTACTAATGGAGTCAATCCCTGTGCTAGTGTTAGTTTCCAGACCATCGACAATATTAGCTATCTCATTTTTATCACATTGTTTGAAGACTGACAATTTGAATTGGATTGTATCAGATTTTAGTTTTGGCAATGTGTGTGTTTCGTTGTTATGATAATGGGACGGTATTTTGTTTGCAAGTTGCGTACCAATATTTGAGAAAAACTTATTGAATAACTCACAAACAGCTACAGGATCATTAATGACAAGGCCGTTATCCGTTTTAAGATTTGGGGGAGCACAGCTTACAATAGGTTTATTCTTAGAAAGTGTATTTATCAGTTTCCACATCTTTTTAGGTTTACTTATACATTTTTCAAACTCTCTGTAATAATATCTGCTCTTTGAAGTCTTGATAAGTCTCGCCACTTTTGTCTTTTCATCAATATATTCTGATATTAGTTCGTTATTCTCTGGGTCTTGCTTTAGTTTACATGACAATTGATTTCTTTTTTTAATCCCCATTATGATTTTTTTATTAATCCATTCTTTTTGAGGTAGATTGACAATTTTACATTTTATTTCTTTATTTTCTGATATTTTTTTTTTATAAATTCTTCTAGAGTGCCAAAATTACAGTCATTATTTTGGAGCTTTTGATCTCTAGTTCGCTTATATAAAATTTCATAGTTAACAGCTCAATATCGTACCTTTTGCATTTGTGGTGGTTTCACTTTTTTCATTTCAACGTAAATATTTTTATGATCTGAAAATGAAGATTCAATGATAGCCATATGAAATTTTTGGTTGTTGAGATTTGTAGCAACATGATCTATAATAGTTGTCGACGTTGGTGACACACGAGTGCTGTGTAGTACTTCAATTTTGTTAATTAATTTGAAACCAGTTTCCTTCAGTAAATCATTATACAACGTGGTCTTAGTATCAGATACCAAAAGATCTATATTTGTATCGCCAAAGACAATCGCTCTTTTTTTTTGCTGCAGTTGCAGTTGATATGTGTTGAGAAAATTGTTAAGATTCGTGTGACCTGGTTTGTACACAATTCCTACATCAAGTGCATATTTTTCAAGATGTATCCACAAGTAGTTGTTTCCGCCAGTGTAAGATTCCATACTTAGGTCATGCTTTAGATTATTATGCACAAAGATGGATACTCCGCCTCCAATGACATCCGATCGAATGTTGTAGTAGTGTGAATAGTTCGTTATTTGAAAACGTGCCACTTGGTCATCTGATCTTATCCAGGTCTCAGTCAGTAATATTATATGTATGGTTTTATTAAAAGCTTCGATAATGCACATGAGTTCATCAAATTTACCTGGTTTACAAATACTTCCGGCATTAGCATAAAAGAAATTAAGGTTAGATTTATTAGAGGTGACGT